ACTCAACACTGCATCATAGATACAACACTGCACCATAGACTCAACACTACACCATAGACTCAACACTGCCCATAGACTCAACACCGCCCATAGACTCAACACTGCCCATAGACACAACACTGCACCATAGACACAACACTGCACCATATACTCAACACTGCACCATAGACTCAACACTGCACCATAGACTCAACACTGCATCATAGACTCAACACTGCATCATAGACTCAACACTGCAAAATAGACTCAACACTGCACCATAGACTCAACACTGCACCATAGACTCAACGCTGCGCTATAGACTCAACGCTGCATCATAGACTCAACACTGCACCATAGACTCAACACTGCACCATAGACTCAACCCTGCACCATAGACGCAACACTGCACCATAGACGCAACACCGCACCATAGACTCAACACTGCACCATAGACTCAACACTGCCTATAGACTCAACACTGCACCATAGACTCAACACTGCACCATAGACTCAACACTGCACCATAGACTCAACACTGCACCATAGACTCAACACTGCACCATAGACTCAACGCTGCACCATAGACTCAACGCTGCATCATAGACTCAACGCTGCACCATAGACTCAACACTGCATCATAGACTCAACCCTGCACCATAGACTCAACACTGCACCATAGACTCAACACTGCACCATAGACTCAACACTGCATCATAGACTCAAAATTGCACCATAGACTCAACACTGCACATAGACTCAACGCTGCATCGTAGACTCAACACTGCACCATAGACTCAACACTGCACCATAGACTCAACCCTGCACCATAGACGCAACACCGCACCATAGACTCAACACCGCACCATAGACTCAACACTGCACCATAGACTCAGCACTGCACCATAGACTCAACACTGCACCATAGACTCAACACTGCACCATAGACTCAACGCTGCACCATAGACTCAACACTGCACCATAGACTCAACGCTGCACCATAGACTCAACACTGCACCATAGACTCAACACTGCACCACAGACACAACACTGCACCATAGACTCTACACTGCACCACAGACACAACACTGCACCATAGACTCAACACTGCACCATAGACTCAACACTGCACCACAGACACAACACTGCACCATAGACTCAACACTGCACCACAGACACAACACTGCATCATAGACTCAACGCTGCACCACAGACACAACACTGCACCATAGACTCAACACTGCACCATAGACTCAACACTGCACCATAGACTCAACACTGCACTACAGACACAACACTGCACCATAGACACAACACTGCACCATAGACTCAACGCTGCATCATAGACTCAACGCTGCACCATAGACTCAACACTGCACCATAGACTCAACCCTGCACCATAGACGCAACACCGCACCATAGACTCAACACTGCACCATACACTCAACACTGCACCATAGACTCAACACTGCACCATAGACTCAACACTGCACCATAGACTCAACACTGCACCATAGACTCAACACTGCACCATAGACTCAACACTGCACCATAGACTCAACACTGCACCATAGACTCAACACTGCACCATAGACTCAACACTGCACCACAGACTCAACACTGCACCATAGACTCAACACTGCACCATAGACTCAACACTGCACCATAGACTCAACACTGCACCATAGACTCAACGCTGCACCATAGACTCAACGCTGCATCATAGACTCAACACTGCACCATAGACACAACACTGCACCATAGACACAACACTGCACCATAGACTCAACACTGCACCATAGACACAACACTGCACCATAGACTCAACACTGCACCATAGACTCAACACTGCACCATAGACTCAACACTGCACCATAGACTCAACACTGCACCACAGACACAACACTGCACCACAGACACAACACTGCACCATAGACTCAACACTGCACCATAGACACAACACTGCACCATAGACTCAACACTGCACCATAGACACAACACTGCACCATAGACTCAACACTGCATCATAGACTCAACACTGCACCATAGACACAACACTGCATCATAGACACAACACTGCATCATAGACTCAACACTGCACCATAGACTCAGCACTGCACCATAGACACAACACTGCATCATAGACTCAACGCTGCACCACAGACACAACACTGCACCACAGACACAACACTGCACCATAGACTCAACACTGCACGACAGACTCAACACTGCATCATAGACTCAACACTGCACCATAGACTCAACACTGCACCATAGACTCAACACTGCACCATAGACTCAACACTGCACCATAGACACAACACTGCACCAGACTCAACACTGCACCACAGACACAACACTGCACCATAGACACAACACTGCACCATAGACACAACACTGCACCATAGACTCAACACTGCACCATAGACTCAACGCTGCACCATAGACTCAACACTGCACCACAGACACAACACTGCACCATAGACTCAACACTGCACCATAGACTCAACACTGCACCATAGACGCAACACTGCACCATAGACTCAACACTGCACCATAGACTCAACACTGCACCATAGACTCAACACTGCACCATAGACTCAACACTGCACCATAGACTCAACACTGCACCATAGACACAACACTGCACCATAGACTCAACACTGCACCATAGACACAACACTGCACCATAGACTCAACACTGCACCATAGACACAACACTGCACCATAGACTCAACACTGCCCGTAGGCTGTAAATCAAACCCGAAACCGAAGAACTATAAACATCAACACTTTATTCACTGTGAAATCGACATCTTAACGTACACACGCAACACACACACACACGGCACGTGTACACACACACGGGGCCAAAGACAAAGATCCCCCGTGCAGCCTTAACAAACCTTTTGGGGCAAGTGCTGTCAGCGAGTAGCAGCAGCTGCAGCACCACGTACGCCCGGCCACCTTTGTCTCTCTCCCCCCCCCCCCCCCATCGATATCGACTACGCATCGTGGCCCAGGTACTACTCTTTTGAGGCTGAGTCCACCTAGGGGAGGCCCAGACCAAAGGTCACCCGCTGGTACCGGTGGCGCGGTGCACGCTAACCGCTGCACCACCGCTCCACCGCCCCCCCCCACCCCGCCAACGCAGGGGTTAACAAAGACAAAGGTCCCCCGTGTAGCCTCTAACAGGCTGTAGGGGCAAGTGCTGTTAGCGAGCAGCGCCTGTGAAGGCTACCGGCGCTGTGACACACGAGGGGGGTGGGTGGCCAGCAACCACCACGCCCGGCCGCCTTTGTCTCTCCCCAAGTGGCTGATGCTTAACTGCACACCGCACCAGGTAACTCATTTGAGGCTGAGTCGACCTAGGGGAGGCCCAGGACCGGTTCAGATAATCGTTACCGGTGGTGTTGGCCGTGAGCGGGAATCGAACCCGTGTCGCCGGGCTCATAGCGCTAACCGCTGCACCACCGCTCCCCACGCACACACGACACGTACATACACACACGCACGCACACACACACGACACGTACACACACACGACACGTACACACACACACGCGCGCGAACACGTACACACACACGCACACACGCACACACGACACGTACACACACACACACGACACGTACACACACACACGTGCGACACGTACACGCACACACGCGCGACACGTACACACACACGCGCACGCGCGCGAACACGTACACAATAACAACACTTAGTGGCGGCGACGTCGCCACGGCGCTTGCGCCAGGCTAGGTGCACGTGAAATGTGGAAAGGCTCTCTGCTGGCAGGAGGTCACGCGGCAGGCCCCAGGTGCCATGGGTTGCACTGCCGTGCCAGGCTAGGTGCATGAGGAGGTCACGGCACAGACCCAGGTGCAATGGGTTGACTGCTGTGCTTGGGTAGGTGCGTGAGTGGCTGAGTGAGTGAGTAGCTGAGTGAGTGAGTAGCTGAGTGAGTGAGTGGCTGAGTGAGTGAGTGGCTGAGTGAGTAGATGAGTGAGTGGGTAGGTGCGTGAGTGAGTGGCTGAGTGAGTGAGTGGCCGAGTGAGTGAGTGGCCGAGTGAGTGAGTGGCCGAGTGAGTGAGTGGCCGAGTGAGTGAGTGGCCGAGTGAGTGAGTGGCTGAGTGAGTGAGTGGCTGAGTGGCTGAGTGAGTGGGTAGGTGCGTGAGTGAGTGGCTGAGTGAGTGGCCGAGTGAGTGGCCGAGTGAGTGGGTAGGTGCGTGAGTGAGTGGCTGAGTGAGTGAGTGGCTGAGTGAATGAGTGGCTGAGTGAGTGGGTAGGTGCGTGAGTGAGTGGCTGAGTGAGTGAGTGGCTGAGTGGGTGGGTAGGTGCGTGAGCGAGTGGCTGAGTAGCTGAGTGAGTGGATAAGTGAGTGAGTGTTTGAGTGAGTGGCTGAGTGAGTAGCTGAGTGAGTGGCTGGCTAAGTGAGTGGATGAGTGGCTGAGTGAGTGGTTGAGTGAGTGGGTAGGTGCGTGAGTGAGTGGCTGGCTGAGTGGCTGGCTGAGTGGCTGAGTGATTGGGTAGGTACGTGAGTGAGTGGCTGGCTGAGTGAGTGGATGAGTGGCTGAGTGGCTGAGTAAGTGGGTAAGTGGGTGAGTAAGTGAGTGCATGAGTGAGTGGCTCAGTGAGTGGCTAGCTAAGGGAGTGGCTGACTGAGTGAGTGGCTGGCTGAGTGAGTGGCTGGCAGAGAGTGGCTGAGTGAGTGAGTGGCTGAGTGAGTGAGTGTGTGAGTGAGCGGCTGAGTGGGTAGCTGAGTGAGTAGGTAAGTGCATGAGTGAGTGAGTGGCTCAGCGAGTGGATAGCTGAGCGAGTGGCTGGCTGAGTGACTGGCTGAGTGAGTGGCTGACGGAGAGTGGCTGAGTGAGTTGGCTGAGTGAGTGAGTGGGTAAGTGGGTGAGTGAGTGGCTGGCTGAGTAAGGCAGTGGCTGACTGAGTGAGTGGCTGGCTGAGTGAGTGGCTGGCGGAGAGAGTGGATGAGTGAGTGGGTAAGTGGGTGAGTAAGTGGCTGAGGTGAGCAAGTGCATGACTGAGTGAGTGGCTCAGTGAGTGGCTGGCTGAGTGAGTGGCTGAGTGAGTGAGTAGCTGAGTGAATGACTGGCTGGCTGAGTGAATGGCTGAGTGAGTGAGTGAGTCCCCGACAGCCACACAACTTCCCGCCACATCTTGGCTTTGATACCACCATCACTACCACCATCATCATCATCACCGGGCATCTCTGTAACCACCACCATCACCCCTCCTCCCGCGTGACGGACGGACGAAGCTAAAAAGGGTAACAACCTCTTCTAATCCTCTTTCTTCACTGGACGTGGCGTGGACCCAGCGATCAAAGGTCAACTCTAATCTGAAAAACAAACAGAGAGACTCAGAGACCCATAGACTCATCACACAGATACCCACAGACTCACCACACAGAGACCCATAGACTCACCACGCAAAGACCCATAAACTCATCACAGAGACCCATAGACTCATCACACTTAGACCCATAAACTCGCCACACAGAGACCCATAGACTCGCCACACAGAGACCCATAGACTCGCCACACAGAGACCCATAGACTCGCCACACAGAGACCCATAGACTCACCACACAGAGACCCATAGACTCATCACACAGAGACCCACAGACTCATCACACAGAGACCCACAGACTCATCACACAGAGACCCACAGACTCATCACACAGAGACCCATAGACTCATCACACAGATACCCACAGAGTCATCACACAGAGACCCATAGACTCACCACACAGATACCCATAGTCTCATCACACAGAGACCCATAGACTCATCACGCAGAGACCCACAGACTCATCACACAGAGACCCATACACTCACCACACATAGACCCATAAACTCGCCACACAGAGACCCATAGACTCATCACACAGACCCATAGACTCATCACACAGAGACCCATAGACTCATCACACAGAGACCCATAGACTCACCACACAGTGACCTCACCTCCTGATTGGCTGGTGCTCGACCTCTGACCCCAACGGCGAGCCTGCCCATTGGGCAGCCCTCACAGTGGCAGGCCGGGAGGGGTGCATGCTGGGAGCACAGCAGAGGGGCGGCAGCGGCACCTCTACCCAGCATGCCCGGCGGGGTCACGTGACCCTTGTGTAGAGAGTCTGGGAATTGGAGGGTAGGGGAAGGGTTCACGCACAGCGGCACCACGTGACTTGCTGAGCTCAGCTGGTCACCCACACCCACAGGTGACCCACCCACCAGGTGACCCACCCACCAGGTGACCCACCCACCAGGTGACCCACCCACCAGGTGACCCACCCACCCAGGTGACCCACCCCCCCAGGTGTCCCACCCACCACAGGTGTCCCACCCCCCAGGTGACCCACCCACCAGATGACCCACCCACCAGGTGACCCACCCACCCAGGTGTCCCACCCACCAGGTGACCCACCCACCCAGGTGACCCACCCACCACAGGTGTCCCACCCACCAGATGACCCACCCACCAGGTGACCCACCCACCAGGTGTCCCACCCACCAGGTGACCCACCCACCAGGTGTCCCACCCAGGTGACCCACCCACCAGGTGACCCACCCACCAGGTGACCCACCCCACAGGTATCCCACCCACCAGGTGACCCACCACCCAGGTGACCCACCCCCCAGGTGACCCACCCACCAGGTGACCCACCCACAAGGTGACCCACCTACAAGGTGTCCCACCCACCAGGTGTCCCACCCACCAGGTGACCCACCCCCCAGGTGACCCACCCACCAGGTGACCACCCACCAGGTGACCCACCCCCCAGGTGACCCACCCACCAGGTGACCACCCACAAGGTGTCCCACCCACCAGGTGTCCCACCCACCAGGTGACCCACCCCCCAGGTGACCCACCCACCAGGTGACCACCCACCAGGTGACCCACCCCCCAGGTGACCAACCCACCAGGTGACCACCCACAAGGTGTCCCACCCACCAGGTGTCCCACCCACCAGGTGACCCACCCCCCAGGTGACCCAACCACCAGGTGACCACCCACCAGGTGACCCACCCCCCAGGTGACCCACCCACCAGGTGACCCACCCACCAGGTGACCCACCCCCCAGGTGACCCACCAGGTGACCTACCAGGTGACCCACCCCCCAAGTGTCCCACCCCCCAGGTGACCAACCCCCCAGGTGACCCACCCCCCAGGTGACCCACCCACCAGGTGACCCACCAGGTGTCCCACCCACCAGGTGTCCCACCCCCCAGGTGACCCAACCACCAGGTGACCCAACAGGTGACCCACCCACCAAGTGTCCCACCCACCAAGTGACCCACCCACCAGGTGACCCACCCACCAAGTGTCCCACCCCCAAGGTGACCCACCCACCAGGTGACCCACCCAGGTGACCCACCCACCAGGTGACCCACCCCCCAAGTGTCCCACCCACCCAGGTGTCCCACCCCCAGGTGTCCCACCCACCAGGTGACCCACCCACCCAGGTGACCCACCCACCAGGTGACCCACCCACCCAGGTGACCCACCCACCAGGTGACCCACCACCCCAGGTGACCCACCCACCAGGTGACCCACCCACCCAGGTGACCCACCCACCCAGGTGACCCACCCACCAGGTGTTCCACCCACCCAGGTGACCCACCCACCCAGGTGTCCCACCCACCCAGGTGTCCCACCCACCCAGGTGACCCACCCACCCAGGTGTCCCACCCACCCAGGTGACCCACCCACCAGGTGTCCCACCCACCAGGTGACCCACCCACCAGGTGTCCCACCCACCAGGTGTCCCACCCACCAGGTGACCCACCCACCCAGGTGACCCACCCACCCAGGTGTCCCACCCACCCAGGTGACCCACCCACCCAGGTGACCCACCCCCCAGGTGTCCCACCCCACCAGGTGTCCCACCCACCAGGTGACCCACCCACCAGGTGACCCACCCACCCAGTTGACCCACCCACCAGGTGACCCACCCACCAGGTGACCCACCCCCCAGGTGACCCACCCACCAGGTGTCCCACCCACCAGGTGTCCCACCCACCAGGTGACCCACCCACCAGGTGACCCACCCACCCAGGTGTCCCACCCACCAGGTGACCCACCCACTAGGTGACCCACCCACCAGGTGTCCCACCCACCAGGTGTCCCACCCACCAGGTGACCCACCCCCCAGGTGACCCACCCACCAAGTGACCCACCCACCCAGGTGACCCACCTACCAGGTGACCCACCCACCAGGTGACCCACCCCACCAGGTGTCCCACCCACCAGGTGACCCACCCACCAGGTGACCCACCCACCAGGTGACCCACCCACCAGGTGACCCACCCAGGTGTCCCACCCACCACAGGTGTCCCATCCCCTAGGTGACCCACCCACCCAGGTGACCCATCCACCAGGTGACCCAACCCACAGGTGTCCCACCCAACAGATGTCCCACCCACCAGATGTCCCACCCACCAGGTGACCCACCCACCAGGTGACCCACCCACCAGGTGACCCACCCACCCAGGTGACCCACCCACCCAGGTGACCCACCCACGACCTCCTGCGTACCAGGCGAGGTAGTCAACATCTCCTAGCCACCGTGGTGCCCTGCTGATGATGTCCGTGCTCTCACCTCCCCCCACCCCCCCCCCCCCCACTCACCATCACAGGGGCCGGTAGGGAGGTCACAGCCCGTGGCAGGGGGTTCTGAGTGTTCCGTGGCGAGCCGCCAGCGGGCGCCCCCCCCGGCGGCTCCGCGGACGCCCCAATCCCCTCCCACCCCCGCGCCCCTCGCGGGGTCCTCGCAGCCACAGCGGACGGGGTCCTCGCCGCCGCCGCCACCACCGCCGCCACCGCCACGCGGGCGTCCGCGATGCGCCCGATTGCCTGCGGCGACCGTCCTGCGCCGGTGGTAAATTGGGGGGGGTGGGGGGGGGGAGAAATAAATAAATGTTTTGAAAATGAATAAAAAAATTAATCGTCCGAATGTATTTTGTACACGCGCGTATATAGCATGCATTTATAAATATACACGCATGTATTTGAACGTACGCGAATATATATTTTTAAAAATGAATACATGTATGCATTGGGGGTGCCGCCCCAACTGTGGTGGCGTGGGCCCTGGGCCCTGGGGTCTGGCCCTGGGGCCCAGGCCCTGGACACCTGGGTCTGGCCCTGGGGCCCTGGCCCTGGACACCTGGGCCCTGGGGCCCTGGCCCTGGGTCTGGCCCTAGGGCCCTGGACACCTGGGCCCTGGGGCCCTGGCCCTGGACACCTGGGCCCTGGGGCCCTGGCCCTGGACACCTGGGCCCTGGGGCCCTGGCCCTGGACACCTGGGCCCTGGGGCCCTGGCCCTGGACACCTGGGCCCTGGGGCCCTGGCCCTGGACACCTGGGCCCTGGGGCCCTGGCCCTGGACACCTGGGCCCTGGGGCCCTGGCCCTGGACACCTGGGCCCTGGGGCCCTGGCCCTGGACACCTGGGCCCTGGGGCCCTGGACACCTGGGCCCTGGGGCCCTGGCCACCTGGACACCTGGGCCCTGGGGCCCTGGCCACCTGGACACCTGGGCCCTGGGGCCCTGGCCACCTGGACACCTGGGCCCTGGGGCCCTGGCCACCTGGACACCTGGGCCCTGGGGCCCTGGGGCCCTGGCCACCTGGACACCTGGGCCCTGGGGCCCTGGCCACCTGGACACCTGGGCCCTGGGGCCCTGGCCACCTGGACACCTGGGCCCTGGGGCCCTGGCCACCTGGACACCTGGGCCCTGGGGCCCTGGCCACCTGGACACCTGGGCCCTGGGGCCCTGGCCCCCTGGCCCCCTGGCCCCCTGGCCCCCTGGCCCCCTGGCCCCCTGGCCCCCTGGCCCCCTGGCCCCCTGGCCCCCTGGCCCCCTGGCCCCCTGGCCCCCTGGCCCCCTGGCCCCCTGGACCCCTGGACCCCTGGACCCCTGGACCCCTGGACCCCTGGCCCTGGCCCTGGCCCTGGCCCTGGCCCTGGCCCTGGCCCTGGCCCTGGCCCTGGCCCTGGCCCTGGCCCTGGCCCTGGCCCTGGAACTGGACCTGGCCCTGGGCCCTGGGACCTGTGAAGTGGGCCCTGGACCCCTGGGCCCTGGGGCCCTGGCCCTGAGGCATGGGTCCTGGGACCTGTGAAGTGGGCCCTGGACACCTGGGCCTGAGCACTAGGACCTGGGCCCTGGGCCCTGGGACCTGGGGCCCTGGATCCCTGGGCACTGGGGCCCTAGGCCTGGCCCTGGACACCTGGGCCCTGGGGCCCTGGGCCTGGCCCTGGGCCAGAGCCCTGGGACCTGTGACGTAGGCCTGAACTCTGGGCCTAAACCCTGGGCCCTGGGACATGGGCCGTGGGCCCTGGACGCTGGGCCTCACCTGCCCAGGAGGTAGGGGTTGTGGTTGGAGTCTGGGCCGCCGTGGTGCAGGCAGCAGTGGGCGCAGGGGGCGGCCGTGGTGAAGTCCGGTTGCAGCGAGCGCAGACTCGAGGGCCCATCGCACACGGCCACTGATAACACACAGACACACAGACACACACACAGAGATACACACACACAGAGATACACACACAGACACACACATACAGATACACAGAGATACATACACAGAGATACACACACAGACACACATACACACACACAGATACACAGAGATACATAACAACAACCGCCATTGCCACTAAGTGGAGGTGACGTCACCACGACGCTTGTGCCAGGCTATGTGCACCCTGAGGCCACGTGAAGTGTCGAACGCCCGCTGGCAGGAGGTCACGGGGCAGACCCAGGTGCCACGGGTCGACTGAGATGACTGGCTGACGCACCACCTGTGCCCCCTACTGTGCCAACCTGATGTGCTTTAGCCACCCGGCGCTCCGCTCGTTGTTGTGAGCGTCGCTCCTCCGCCCTCCGTTGTTGTTGGAGGGCGACTGCCTCCAACTGCCCAGTAGCGTCCTTCACGAGCCTCCTCCACAGAGGCCGATCTCGACACCGCTGGTACCAGTCATCGGCAAGTCCACTCAGCTCCACGTCCTCCTGTACCACGTCACTCCATCTCTTCTCTAGCCCGTGCCGCGCCTGTTTAGCCCCCTCGATCCGGCCGAACAAAAGCTGTTTCGGCATGCGGTGGCTGGGCATGCGGGCTACATGACCCAGCCAACGCAGCCTTGCCTGCCGGAGGAGCTCACCGACGGGACCCTGCCCAGATCTCTAGGATTTGTGAGCTCCTCACACAATCCAGCCTGGTTAAACCCAGGATGGATCGTAGGCAGGCCAGCCTAAATGTTTCTAACCGGCGAAGATGTTCCATTAGGGGGGTCCACGTTTCGCAAACGTAGAGAAGGGAGGGAAGGACCGTGGCCGAGAAGACCCGAAGCTTAGTGCAGAGCGACAGACCAGGTAGCTTCCACACAGCGTTACGCAACCGATGAAAAGATATTGCCGCTCGACTGATTCGGAGTGAGACCTCTGCTGTTAAACTGGAGCCGGTCACACACACACACAGAGATACATACACACAGACACACAGAGATACACATACACACAGAGATACACATACACAGAGATACACAAATACAGATACAATGAGATACACAGAATTACATTGGGATACACCCACAGAGATACATAGAGATACACAGAGAAAATAAAATGTTTCGCTCCGGATGACGCTGCAAAGTATTATCTGTATTTTGATTTGGCGTGCTGATCTTAAAGGTGCATTGAAAAATGTGATACTCCGACTGATGCTTCTGTTGTTGTGGAGTAACTCATGCAGCCAGCTATGAATCTAGGATTTGGTGTTACATGTTATTTATGTAGTTTATTGTAAAAATTCGCTCAGTCCCTATGTTAACTGTTACGTTGCAATTATGGCTTTATTTTTTGGTGATTTCGAAAAGTTTTTTGGTTTGGACATGTTTGTTTTGTTGTAGTACGGAGTTAGACTGATGGCCTTAATCTAAATTTTCTTGTGGTTGTTGTTGTTGTTGTTGTTTGACTTGCATCCCACTGGGATTTTATTGCACACAGCGTTGGTGTACGGTGCTTTTTTCAGGAATATTTTGCTGTTTTTTTTTCATGGATTTTCTGTTTGCACAGTCAACACAAAGTCACTTTAAGATCTTTTCTTGTTCGTGTTTTTGTTTGTTGTGGTTGCACCCGATTCAAGATCCGAATGGCTCACAGGGCTCCATCAAAATAAATTAACTGAACTCTTATTTCAATATTTGAGGCACCGCAGCCTTAGCAGGGTCATCCCCACTTTGTCCCACGTTGTTATCCAGGCTGAGGGATTGCCCCTCCCCCAGGGCCACACAGAACCGCTCAGCAAATCTGGAAAACCTGTCCCTGGGGGTCGGAGATTGGATCACCGTTCTTTCCCCTAATGATGGTAATAGGTGTGGGCGCTGCAAGTTACTTTTTTCATGGAGTTAAAAGAGATTTGTAATCGCGGGCCACTGAGGCAGACTCCCATCTCCTCAGCAACCCGCGACCACCACCCATCCTTGCAGCGCCTCATGGCTCTCCAAACCTCCGAGCGAAGGCTGCAGTAAGCCTCCTCATTCTCTGACGTGGGATGCTGTAGCCGATGAGAGTGGGCCTGTCGCTTTTTCTCAGCCAGCCTGAACACCTCCTCTGTAAGTCAGGGTCTCTGGAGAGGTGTGGACCGTGTACCCAAAGCAGCCATTGCAGCTGCATAAGCCACAGTCTTAAACCTCGCCCATTTCCCCTCGACATCAGGAGGAGTGGGGGACAATGCCAACCCCAGCCGCAAGTAATGATGAAATTCCCACTTGCAACTTTCATAAGCTGAGACCAGGCCACTGTGGGTTTGAATGGGGTCCTGGGTGTACATCCACTCCCTGTTGTTTGGCAGTCTCCTGCCCCGAGTAGAGGACTGTCCACCCCTTATAGTGGCAGGAGCCAGAGCCGGTCCACCGGACCTCCTGAATGCCACAGAGATCCAGGCGGTACCAGACCAGCTCCCGACAGAGGAGTGGCAGCCTCTCCTCCGCAGTGAGCATTCGAACATTCCACGTGGCCACCCGCAGTGGCTTTTAGCCGTTCCTGGAGGAGCCCTGAGGGTAGAGATTCAATCTCGTGGCTGCGCCAAATGGGGTGTGGCCAGGAAACGTCACCCATGTACACGCACACCTGTACACGCACCTGTGTACACACACGTGCACACACACGTGCGCACGTGCACACACACGTATACACACACATACACACACACGTACACACACGTGCGCACGTGCACACACACATATACACACACGTATACACACACACGTATACACACACACGTATAAACACACGTACACGCACGCGTGTACACACACCCGTGTACACACACACACACGTGTACACACACACACACACGTGTACACACACACACACACGTGTACACACACACACACACGTGTACACACACACGTGTACACACACACACGTGTACACACACACGTGTACACACACACACGTGCACACAAACACACGCACGCACGCGCGGTGTGCGGAGGTTTGAGAGGCAGCAACTCCTCCCCGTGGGGGTCTCCACGACTCCCCGGGGGGGTCCCCTTCTTCCCCGGGGGGGTCCCCTCTCCCGGGGGGGTCCCCTCTCCCGGGGCCAAGGCCCGAGCCTCCTCCTCCTCCCTCCCCGCGTCGTCGTCATCAGGCTCCTCCTCCTGGGCCTCCACGGCACCTGGAGGTGAAAACCACGGTTACCGTGGTTACCGTGGTTACCGTGGCTACCAGGTTCAGAGTCTCCCTCCTGCAGCAGAGTGTGTGGACTAATCTCCATCTGTTCCTTCTCACTCCCTCCTACAGCAGAGTGTGTGGACTAATCTCCATCTGTTCCTTCTCACTCCCTCCTACAGCAGAGTGTGTGGACTAATCTCCATCTGTTCCATCTCACTCCCTCCTACAGCAGCAGAGTGTGTGGACTAATCTCCATCTGTTCCATCTCACTCCCTCCTACAGCAGCAGAGTGTGTGGACTAATCTCCATCTGTTCCGTCTCACTCCCTCCTACAGCAGAGTGTGTGGACTAATCTCCATCTGTTCCATCTCACTCCTTCCTACAATAGAGTGTGTGGACTAATCTCCATCTGTTCCATCTCACTCCCTCCTACAGCAGAGTGTGTGGACTAATCTCCATCTGTTCCATCTCACTCCCTCCTACAGCAGCAGAGTGTGTGGACTAATCTCCATCTGTTCCATCTCACTCCCTCCTACAGCAGAGTGTGTGGACTAATCTCCATCTGTTCCTTCTCACTCCCTCCTACAGCAGAGTGTGTGGACTAATCTCAATCTGTTCCATCTCACTTCCTTCTACAGCAGAGTGGACTAATCTCCATCTGTTCCATCTCACTCCCTCCTGAAGCAGAGTGTGTGGACAAAGATCCCCCGTGTAGCCTCTAACAGGCTGTAGGGGCAAGTGCTGTTAGCGAGTAGCAGCAGCAGCGCCGATACACAGACAAAGATCCCCCGTGTAGCCTCTAGCACGCTGCAGGGGCAAGTGCTGTTAGCGAGTAGCAGCAGCACCTATACACAGACAAAGATCCCCCGTGCAGCCTCTAACAGGCTGTAGGGGCAAGTGCTGTTAGCGAGTAGCAGCAGCACCTATACACAGACAAAGATCCCCCGTGTAGCCTCTAACAGGCTGTAGGGGCAAGTGCTGTTAGTAGTAGCGAGTAGCAGCGCCTATACACAGACAAAGATCCCCCGTGTAGCCTCTAGCAGGCTGCAGGGGCAAGTGCTGTTAGCGAGTAGCAGCAGCACCTATACACAGACAAAGATCCCCCGTGGAGCCTCTAGCAGTCTGCAGGGGCAAGTGCTGTTAGTAGCGAGTAGCAGCAGCACCTATACACAGACAAAGATCCCCCGTGTAGCCTCTAACAGGCCGCAGGGGCAAGTGCTGTTAGCGAGTAGCAGCAGCAGCACCTATACACAGACAAAGATCCCCCGTGTAGCCTCTAACAGGCTGCAGGGGCAAGTGCTGTTAGCGAGTAGCAGCAGCAGCGCCTACACACAGACAAAGCTCTCCCGTGTAGCCTCTAACAGGCCGCAGGGGCAAGTGCCGTTAGTAGCGAGCGGCAGCAGCGGCAGAGGGGAGCGGCCTTGACCGCTCCGCCCGACCCCGTCCGTCTGCTTCCCCCCTCCAGCTTGTCCCGGCCGCCTTTGTATCCCCTCACCTTCGTGCTGCTGCTGCTGCTGCTGGTGGTGGTGCGCGAGCTTGTGGGCCAGGTGGTGCTTCCAGTAGACGAGGCAGAAGGCGGAGACGGCCACAAGGACGGTGGCGAGGACCCCGCAGACAACGCCCGTCACAGCACGCTCGTCGGACAGCGTGTCACCGTGGGAGACACGCACCACGGAGACACGCTGTCCGCCTGGGGAGAGGGGGGAGAGACACGGTGAGACACGGTGAGAGAGACACGGTGAGGGAGACACGCACCACGGAGACACGCTGTCCGCCTGGGGAGAGGGGGGAGAGAGACGGTGAGAGAGAGACGGTGAGAGAGACACGGTGAGAGAGACACGGTGAGGGAGACACACACCACGGAGACACGCTGTCCGCCTGGGGGAGACGGGGGAGAGACACGGTGAGAGAGACACGGTGAGACACGGTGAGAGAGACACGGTGAGACACGCTGTCCGCCTGGGGGGAGGGGAGACACGGTGAGAGAGACACGGTGAGAGAGACACGCTGTCCACCTGGGGGAGGGGAGAGACACGGTGAGAGAGACACGGTGAGAGAGACACGCACCACGGAGACACGCTGTCTGCCTGCGGTGGGGAGGGGGAGGAGACACGGTGGGGGAGACACGGTGGGGGAGACAGGTTGAGGGAGACACGCACCACGGAGACACGCTGTCCGCCTGGGGGGGAGGGGGAGACACGGTGAGAGAGACACGGTGGGGGAGACACGGTGAGAGAGACACGGTGAGAGAGACACGGTGAGAGAGACACGGTGAGAGAGACACGGTGAGAGAGACACGGGGAGAGAGACACGGTGAGAGAGACACGGTGAGAGAGACACGGTGAGAGAGACACGGTGAGAGAGACACGGTGAGAGAGACACGGTGAGAGAGACACGGTGAGAGAGACACGGTGAGAGAGACACGCACCACGGAGACACGGTGAGAGAGCCACGGTGAGAGAGCCACGGTGAGAGAGACACGGTGAGAGAGACACGGTGAGAGAGACACGGTGAGAGAGACACGGTGAGAGAGACACGGTGAGAGAGACACGGTGAGAGAGACACGGTGAGAGAGACACGGTGAGAGAGACACGGTGAGAGAGACACGGTGAGAGAGACACGGTGAGAGAGACACGGTGAGAGAGACACGGTGAGAGAGACACGGTGAGAGAGACACGGTGAGAGAGACACGGTGAGAGAGACACGGTGAGAGAGACACGGTGAGAGAGACACGGTGAGAGAGACACGGTGAGAGAGACACGCACCACGGAGACACGGTGAGAGAGCCACGGTGAGAGAGACACGGTGAGAGAGACACGGTGAGAGAGACACGGTGAGAGAGACACGGTGAGAGAGACACGGTGAGAGAGACACGGTGAGAGAGACACGGTGAGAGAGACACGGTGAGAGAGACACGGTGAGAGAGACACGGTGAGAGAGACACGGTGAGAGAGACACGGTGGGGGGAGACACGGTGAGAGAGACACGGTGAGAGAGACACGGTGAGAGAGACACGGTGAGAGAGACACGGTGAGAGAGACACGGTGAGAGAGACACGGTGAGAGAGACACGGTGAGAGAGACACGGTGAGAGAGACACGGTGAGAGAGACACGGTGAGAGAGACACGGTGAGAGAGACACGGTGAGAGAGCCACGCTGTCCGCCTGGGGGGGGGAGGGGGAGACACGGTGGGGATGATGACACTGATGATGATGACACTGCAGATGATGATGACACTGATGATGATGACACTGCAGATGATGATGATGACACTGATGATGATGATGACACTGATGATGATGATGATGACACTGATGATGATGACACTGCAGATGATGATGACACTGCAGATGATGATGATGACACTGCTGATGATGATGACACTGATGATGATGATGATGACACTGATGATGATGATGACACTGATGATGATGATGATGACACTGATGATGATGACACTGCAGATGATGATGACACTGCAGATGATGATGATGACACTGCTGATGATGATGACACTGATGATGATGATGATGACACTGCTGATGATGATGACACTGCTGATGAGGATGATGACACTGCTGATGATGATGACACTGCTGATGAGGATGATGACACTGCTGATGATGATGATGATGACACTGATGATGATGATGACACTGATGATGATGACACTGCTGACAATGATGACACTGCTGATGATGACACTGCTGATGATGAGGATGACACTGCTGATGATGAGGATGACACTGCTGATGATGATGACACTGATGATGATGACACTGATGATGATGATGATGACACTGATGATGACACTGCTGATGATGATGATGACACTGCTGCTGATGATGATGAGGATGACACTGCTGATGATGATGATGACACTGCTGATGATGATGATGACACTGCTGCTGATGATGACACTGCTGATGATGATGATGAGGATGACACTGCTGACGATGATGACACTGCTGATGATGATGACACTGCTGCTGATGATGATGACACTGCTGATGATGATGATGACACTGCTGATGATGATGACACTGCTGATGATGATGATGACACTGCTGATGATGATGACACTGCTGATGAGGATGATGACACTGCTGATGATGATGATGACACTGATGATGATGATGACACTGATGATGATGATGACACTGCAGATGATGATGATGACACTGCTGATGATGATGACACTGCTGATGATGATGACACTGATGATGATGATGATGACACTGATGATGATGATGACACTGATGATGATGATGATGACACTGATGATGATGACACTGCAGATGATGATGACACTGCAGATGATGATGATGACACTGCTGATGATGATGACACTGATGATGATGATGATGACACTGCTGATGATGATGACACTGCTGATGAGGATGATGACACTGCTGATGATGATGACACTGCTGATGAGGATGATGACACTGCTGATGATGATGATGATGACACTGATGATGATGATGACACTGATGATGATGACACTGCAGATGATGATGACACTGCTGACAATGATGACACTGCTGATGATGACACTGCTGATGATGAGGATGACACTGCTGATGATGATGACACTGATGATGATGACACTGATGATGATGATGATGACACTGATGATGACACTGCTGATGATGATGACACTGCTGATGATGATGATGACACTGCTGCTGATGATGATGAGGATGACACTGCTGATGATGATGATGACACTGCTGATGATGATGATGACACTGCTGCTGATGATGACACTGCTGATGATGATGATGAGGATGACACTGCTGACGATGATGACACTGCTGATGATGATGACACTGCTGATGATGACACTACTGATGATGATGACACTACTGATGATGACACTGATGATGATGATGATGACACTGCTGATGATGACACTGATGATGATGATGATGACACTGATGATGATGAGGATGACACTGCTGATGATGACACTGATGATGAGGATGATGATGTCTCACACTGCGTGCGGTCTGCAGGCGGGGAGCTGGCACAGGACACGCACTCCGAGTCCTGGAATCCGCCCAGCCGGGTCTTCCGATAAAACCTTAACGAAGACAACAACAACAATCAACAACAACAACAATCTGTGCGTGTGCGTGTGTGTGTGTGCGTGCGTGCGTGCGTGTGTGCTCGTGTGTGTGTGTGTGTGCGTGTGTGTGCGTGTGTGCGTGTGTGTGCGTGTGTGTGCGTGTGTGTGTGTGTGCGTGTGCGTGTGTGCGTGTGTGTGCGTGTAGTAAACATCGCCACTGGGGGAGCGGTGGTGCAGCGGTTAGCGCTACGCTTGCGCTACGAACCTGGCGACCCGGGTTCGATTCCCGCTCACGGCCAACACCGGTGACGATTATCCTGAACCGGTCCCGGGCCTCCCCTAAGTCGACTCAGCCTCAAATGAGTAACCTGGTAGCTGAACATCGCCACTAGGAGAGAGACAAAGGCGGCAGGGCGTGGTGGTTGCTGGCCACCCACCCCCCTCGTGTGCCACAGCGCCGGTAGCCTTCATAGGTGCTCGCTAACAGCACTTGCCCCTACAGTCTGTTAAGGCTATATGGGGGATCTTTATCTTTGTTTCTGTGTGAGTGTCTGCGTGTGTGGGGTCTGCGTGTGTCTGTGTGTCTGTGTGTCTGCGTGTGTGTCTGCGTGTATGCGTGTGTGTCTGCGTGTCTGCGTGTGTGTGTCTGCGTGTGTGTGTCTGCGTGTCTGTGTGTGTGTGCGCTACGTACCCTTGCACACATTCTCCACACACGGCGTTGTGCGTGTGCGTACAGTTGTGTGCGTGTCTGTGTGTGTGTCTGTGTCTGTGTGTCTTGGTGGTCCCCCTCTTTAAGAAGGGGGACCGCACAGACTGTAACAACTACAGGGGCATCTCACTCCTCAGTGTGCCGGGAAAGGTCCTGGCAAGGATTATTCAGCATCGCCTTGCCAGGCACGCTGAGGAGAGGCTTGCGGAGCCCCAATGCGGTTTCAGGAAAGGGCGGTCCTGCACAGATGCCATATTTTCTGTCCGTCTGCTACAGCAGAGGTGTAGGGAATTCCAGCAAGACCTACATCTCTGCTTTATTGACCTGGTCAAGGCCTATGATGCCATCAGTAAGCCTGGGCTCTGGGTCGTTCTTCGTGCTTTTGGAGTACCTGACCCTCTGCTCACGATCATTAAGGACCTTCATGATGGTGAGCGGGCCCGGGTAAAACTACGTGGCCGGGAGTCAGAGCCATTCCTTGTACACCTTGGGGTGCGACAGGGATGTCCTCTGGCTCCCACATTATTTAACATCCATTTTGACCACGTAGTTCGTGAAGCCTTCAATAGCTGTACCGGGGGAATCTCCATATGGTACAGATATAATGGGAGGCTGATCGATGCCTGGTTGCGGTCAAGGGATGGCTCCCTATTGCTCAACCACGTTATGTATGCTGATGATTTGGTAATAGCTAAATCATCAGCAGTCAGAGGAGGAGTTGGAGACGCTGCTGCTGAGACTGGAACGTGCCACTAAGAGGTGGGGCCTTACCATCAGCCCCACCAAAACTAAGCACCGGCCTGGGTATTTTGTACCATCGGACACTCCACCCCCACAACTCCCAATCGGTGATGGGGCAGTTGTGGAGAGAGTGGAGAGTTTCCCATACCTGGGCAGTGTGCTTATGACTGGCTCCAGTTTAACAGCAGAGGTCTCACTCCGAATCAGTCGAGCGGCAATATCTTTTCATCGGTTGCGTAACGCTGTGTGGAAGCTACCTGGTCTGTCGCTCCGCACTAAGCTTCAGGTCTTCTCGGCCACGGTCATTCCCTCCCTTCTCTACGCTTGCGAAACGTGGACCCCCCTAATGGAACATCTTCGCCGGTTAGAAACATTTAGGCTGGCGTGCCTACGATCCATCCTGGGTTTAACCAGACTGGATTGTGTGAGGAGCTCACAAATCCTTGAAAGATCTGGGCAAGGTCCCATCGGTGAGCTCCTCCGGCGGGGAAGGCTGCGATGGCTGGGTCATGTAGTCCGCATGCCCAGCCACCGCATGCCGAAACAGCTTTTCTTCGGCCGGATTGAGGGGGCTAAGTGGGCGCGGCACGGGCTAAAGAAGAGATGGAGTCATGTGGTACAGGAGGACGTGGAGCTGAGTGGACTTGCCGATGACTGGTACCAGCGGTGTCAAGATCGGCCTCTGTGGAGGAGGCTCATGAAGGACGCTACTGGGCAGTTGGAGGCAGTCGCCTTCCAACAACAACGGAGGGCGGAGGAGCGACGCTCAGAACAACGAGCAGAGCGCCGGGTGGCTAAAGCACAGCAGGTTGGCACAGTAGGGGGCACAGGTGGTGCATCAGCCAGTCATCTCAGTCATCTCAGTCAGTCGACCTGGGGCACCTGGGTCTGCCCCGTGACCTCCTGCCAGCGGGCGTTCGACACTTCACGTGGCCTCAAGGTGCACATGTCCTGGCACAAGCGTTGTGGTGACGTCACCGCCACTTAGTGGCGAATGGCGGTTGTTGTTGTTGTGTGCCTGTGTGTCTGCGCGTGTGTGCGAGTCTTAGTGGCGAATGGCGGTTGTTGTTGTGTGTGTGTGTCAGCGTGTGTGTGTGCGCTACGTACCCCTGCACACATTCTCCACACATGGCGTTGTGCGTGTGCGTACAGTTGTGTGTGTGTCTGTGTGTGTGGTGTCTGTGTGTGTGGTGTCTGTGTGTGTGTCTGTGTGTGTGTGTGTGTGGTGTCTGTGTGTGTGTGTCTGTGTGTGTGTGTGTCTGTGTGTGTGTGTCTGTGTGTGTGGTGTCTGTGTGTGTGTGTGTGTCTGTGTGTGTGTGTCTGTGTGTGTGGTGTCTGTGTGTGTGTGTCTGTGTGTCTGTGTGTGTGTGGTGTCTGTGTGTGTGTGTCAGCGTGTGTGTGTGCGCTACGTACCCCTGCACACATTCTCCACACACGGCGTTGTGCGTGTGCGTACAGTTGTGTGTGTGCGCGCGGTTCAGCAGGGCGCAGTCGAGGCACAGGAGGCAGCGCTGTGGGCCCCAGGCCTCCTTGTAGCGACGTGACGGGCAGGGCAAGCACGAGGCCTGCACGCCTAGGCCTCGTCCACACTCCTGGTGGAACAACACGCGCAGAGACACAGAGACACTCCTGATGGGACACAGACACACAGAGACACACAGAGACACACAGAGACAGAGACACAGAGACACAGAGACACACAGAGAGACAGACAGAGAGGCAGCGCTGTGGGCCCCAGGCCTCCTTGTAGCGACGTGACGGGCAGGGCAGGCACGAGGCCTGCACGCCTAGGCCTCGTCCACACTCCTGGTGGAACAACACGCGCAGAGACACAGAGACACTCCTGATGGGACACAGACACACAGAGACACACAGAGACAGAGACAGAGACACACAGAGACACAGAGACACACAGAGAGACAGACAGAGAGACAGCGCTGTGGGCCCCAGGCCTCCTTGTAGCGACGTGACGGGCAGGGCACGCACGAGGCCTGCACGCCTAGGCCTCGTCCACACTCCTGGTGGAACACAACAGGCGCAGAGACACAGAGACACAGACACACAGAGACACAGAGACACTCCTGATGGGACAACACGCGCAGAGACGCAGAGACACAGAGACACAGACACACAGAGACACACAGAGACAGAGACACACAGAGACACAGAGACACACAGAGACAGAGACAGAGACACACAGAGACACACAAAGACAGAGACACAGACACACAGAGACACAGAGACACACAGAGAGACAGACAGAGAGGCAGCGCTGTGGGCCCCAGGCCTCCTTGTAGCGACGTGACGGGCAGGGCACGCACGAGGCCTGCACGCCTAGGCCTCGTCCACACTCCTGGTGGAACAACACGCGCAGAGACACAGAGACACTCCTGATGGGACACAGACACACAGAGACACACAGAGACACACAGAGACACAGACACACAGAGACACAGAGACACACAGAGAGACAGACAGAGAGACAGCGCTGTGGGCCCCAGGCCTCCTTGTAGCGACGTGACGGGCAGGGCAGGCACGAGGCCTGCACGCCTAGGCCTCGTCCACACTCCTGGTGGGACAACAACAGGCGCAGAGACACAGAGACACACTCCGGATGGGACACAACACGCGCAGACACACAGAGACACAGAGACACAGACACACAGAGACACACAGAGACAGAGACACACAGAGACACAGAGACACACAGAGACACAGAGACACACAGAGACAGAGACACACAGAGACACACAAAGACAGAGACACAGACACAGAGACACAGAGACACACAGAGAGACAGACAGAGAGGCAGCGCTGTGGGCCCCAGGCCTCCTTGTAGCGACGTGACGGGCAGGGCAGGCACGAGGCCTGCACGCCTAGGCCTCGTCCACACTCCTGGTGGGACAACAGGCGCAGAGACACAGAGACACAGAGACACACTCCTGATGGGACAACACACAGAAACACAGACACAGAGAGACACGCAGAGACACACACAGAGACAGACAGAGAGACACACAGAGAGACACACAGAGAGACACACAGAGACAGACAGAGAGACACACAGAGAGACACACAGAGACAGACAGAGAGACACGCAGAGAGACACACAGAGACACACAGAGACACACAGAGACAGAGAGACACACAGAGACAGACAGAGAGACACGCAGAGACAGACAGAGAGACACGCAGAGAGACACACAGAGACACACAGAGACAGAGAGATAGACAGAGACACACAGAGAGACACACAGAGAGACAGACAGAGAGACACACAGAGACAGAGAGGCAACGTTGTAGGCCCCAGGCCTCCTTGTAGCTACACGAGGGGCAGGCCACGCACGAAGCCTGCACGTGAAGGCCTCGTCCGCACTGCTGGTGAGGCGGGGGGGGGGGGGGGGGGCGATGTCCACGACACGCCACGCCAGGTACTCATTTGAGGCCGAGTCTAAACTAAAACTGTCATCATCATCATCACGTGGACATTTAGAGCAGCAGATGAATACTCTAAACGCGTGTTTCCAGAGACCCATAGAGACGCACAGAGACCCATACTCATAGAGACCCACAGAGACCCATACTCAGAGACCCACAGAGACCCATACTCAGAGACCCACAGAGACCCATACTCAGAGACCCACAGAGACCCATACTCATAGAGACCCACAGAGACCCACAGTCATAGAGACCCACAGAGACACCGGTGGTGTTGGCCATGAACGGGAATCGAACTCGGGTCGCCAGGTTCATAGCGCAGGGTAGCGCTGACCGCTACACTATCGCTCCCCATATACACAACAACAACAACAACCGCCATTCGCCACTAAGTGGCGGTGACGTCACCACGACGCTTGTGCCAGGCCATGTGCACCTTGAGGCCACGTGAAGTGTCGAATGCCCGTGGGCAGGAGGTCACGGGGCAGACCCAGGTGCCACGGGTCGACTGACTGAGATGACTGAGATGACTGGCTGATGCACCACCTGTGCCCCCTACTGTGCCAACCTGCTGTGCTTTAGCCACCCGGCGCTCCGCTCGTTGTTGTGAGCTTCGCTCCTCCGCCCTCCGTTGTTGTTGGAGGGCGACTGCCTCCAACTGCCCAGTAGCGTCCTTCACGAGCCTCCTCCACAGAGGCCGATCTTGACACCGCTGGTACTGGTCACTGGCAAGTCCACTCAGCTCCACGTCCTCCTGTACCACATCACTCCATCTCTTCTCTAGCCCGTGCCGCGCCCGCTTAGCCCCCTCAATCCGGCCAAACAAAAGATGTTTCGGCATGCGGTGGCTGGGCATGCGGGCTACATGACCCAGCCATCGCAGCCTTGCCTGCCGGAGGAGCTCACCGATGGGACCCTGCCCAGATCTTTCAAGGATTTGTGAGCTCCTCACACAATCCAGTCCGGTTAAACCCAGGATGGATCGTAGGCAGGCCAGCCTAAATGTTTCTAACCGGCGAAGATGTTCCATTAGGGGGGTCCACGTTTCGCAAGCGTAGAGAAGGGAGGGAATGACCGTGGCCGAGAAGACCTGAAGCTTAGTGCGGAGCGACAGACCAGGTAGCTTCCACACAGCGTTACGCAACCGATGAAAAGATATTGCCGCTCGACTGATTTGGAGTGAGACCTCTGCTGTTAAACTGGAGCCATTCATAAGCACACTGCCCAGGTATGGGAAACTCTCCACTCTCTCCACAACTGCCCCATCACCAATTGGGAGTTGTGGAGGTGGAGTGTCCGATGGTACAAAATACCCAGGCAGGTGCTTAGTTTTGGTGGGGCTGATGGTAAGGCCCCACCTCTTAGTGGCACGCTCCAGTCTCAGCAGCAGCGTCTCCAACTCCTCCTCTGAATGAGCAGCTATTACCAAATCATCAGCATACATAACGTGGTTGAGCAATAAGGAGCCATCCCTTGACCGCACCCGGGCATCGATCAGCCTCCCATTATATCTGTACCATATGGAGATTCCCCCGGTACAGCTATTGAAGCCTTCACGAACTACGTGGTCAAAATAGATGTTAAATAATGTGGGAGCCAGAGGACATCCCTGTCGCACCGCAACGTGTACAGGGAATGGCTCTGACTCCCGGCCACGTAGTTTTACCTGGGCTCGCTCACCATCATGAAGGTCCTTAATGATCGTGAGGTACTCCAAAAGCACGAAGAACAACCAAGAGCCCAGGCCTACTGATGGTATCATAGGCCTTGACCAGGTCAATAAAGCAGAGATGTAGGTCTTGTTGGAATTCCCTACACCTCTGCTGTAGCAGACGGACAGAAAATATGGCATCTGTGCAGGACCGCCCTTTCCTGAAACCGCATTGGGGCTCCGCTAGCCTCTCCTCAGCGTGCCTGGCAAGGCGATGTTGAATAATCCTTGCCAGGACCTTTCCCGGCACACTGAGGAGTGAGATGCCCCTGTAGTTGTTACAGTCTTTGCGGTCCCCCTTCTTAAAAAGGGGGACCACCAGGACATCCTTCCAATCCTGCGGAACCCGTCCAGTGGTCCAGACTGTTGTTATGATGTCATGTAGGGCAGTCTGTGCGCAAACGCCACCCTCCCTCAGCATCTCTGCCCGCTGCCTTTCCTGGTCTCAGACTCTGGATCGCCTTCAGTACTTCCTCAACAGATGGCACCTCTCTCAGCCAGCCACTCACAGGGGGTGACTTCTTCCAATATTTGAGGCACCGCAGCCTCAGCAGGGTCATCCTCACTTTGTGCCATGATGTTTTCCTGGCTGAGGGATTTTCCCTCCCCCAGGACCTCACAGAAATGCTCAGCAAATCTGCAAACCTGTTCCTGGGGGTCGGAGATTGGATCACCGTTTTTTCCCCGCACATACACACGTACACACACACACGCGTGCGCCGACTTCACCCACATGAAAGCTTCTCTACTGATCCTCCCAAGCCTCAGGCCTTATCCCAGGAATCTTGTCGCGTGTAGGTGTGTGTGTGTCTGTGTGTGTGTATCTGTGTGTGTGGGTGTGTGTCTGTGTGGGTGTGTGGGTGTGTATCTGTGTGTGTGGGTGTGTGTGTGTGGGTGTGTGTGTGTGTCTGTGTGTGTGGGTGTGTGTGTGGGTGTGTGTGTCCGTGTGTGTATCTGTGTGTGTGGGTGTGTGTGTATCTGTGTGTCTGTGTGTGTGTATCTGTGTGTGTCTGTGTGTGTCTGTGTGTGTGGGTGTGTGTCTGTGTGTGTGGGTGTGTGTGTGTCTGTGTGTGTGTGTGGGTGTGTGTGTGGGTGTGTGTGTGGGTGTGTGTGTGGGTGTGTGTGTATCTGTGTGTGTGGGTGTGTGTGCATCTGTGTGTGTGGGTGTGTGTGTATCTGTGTGTGTGGGTGTGTGTGTGTGGGTGTGGGTGTGTGTGTGTGTGTATCTGTGTGTGTGGGTGTGTGTGTATCTCTGTGTGTGGGTGTGTGTGTGTGTGTGGGTGTGTGTGGGTGTGTGTGTGTATCTGTGTGTGTGGGTGTGTGTGGGTGTGGGTGTGTGTGCGTGTGTGTATCTGTGTGTGTGGGTCTGTGTGTATCTGTGTGTGTGGGTGTGGGTGTGTGTGTGGGTGTGTGTGTGTGGGTGTGTGTGTATCTGTGTGTGTG